GTTCACTTTCAGATACTTTGGACTCACTAAAACCTGATTCGCATCATTTTGTAGTTTCCCATTGCTCTAAAGGCACCGGCACGATGGCTATGGGCGGACGGTTGCTGCCAACGTCATTGGTGGATGGGCTGCGAGAAGCCGTTGGCCACACTCCATCGTCCATCAACCACTGAAGCTGGCAGTAACGGCCCGCCCCCATCCATCGTACTAACCCCTCGAAAGCTTTACAAAACTGCATGACATGTTGACAATAGTCAAAGGAAAGCCTCTCCTCAGCGGGTAGCCGTCTTTTTGATGGGCATTCTTGCACCGGTGCAGATATGCCAAAGCCTGCACATGTTACCCTCGGTTCATTACCATATCTCAAAACAAGTTTGGTAGTGGTTTGGTTGAGAACTAAAAAGTATTCCAGGGGCTTCAGAACGGGAGCGGAGATAGGTGTAGGCGATGTATAAATCTGATAAAATTGTTAAAAACCCACGTTTCTCTTCACTCGAAGTACGCATCCATCATTCATCATATTCTGATAGTTTGGTGCTGAGAAGATCGTTACCAGTCGTCCACCTGCGAACATTCGATGACCACCCCTGACCATCTGAAACCATCTCTTTTACATAATCTGTCTGGTACACAGAAGCAAATTATCATGAAATTTAGGTGGAAACAAATTTATCAGTTCTATAGGGGTCATGAAGAGGAAGAAAAACACTTTGCTCATGGCACGCATCATCGAAGTTTGCGTAGCAGAGGTCCGGATGTCAAGGTATTGTTTAAGAATCGAGGAACAAGAGTATACACTCCTTTTAGGAAACGCTGCCTTCCTTTGGCCGAAGTGAAGGGATCCACTGCTGCAGTAGCGAACCACTTTCTACGAGTGAGCGGTTCTGGAGGGCAGTGAAGCGCGATTGTCGCCTCCAAACTCCACATGCGCCCTATCCTCAAAGGTGCGATCAAGTGCGCGAAAAACCGCAGGCTGAAACACCGCTCCACAGCAGCTAGAGAGCAACTAAAAGTAGAGGCGCTAAAGACAACGTAGCGCTGTTTGGCTATGGTTGACCGTCGTAGCTGGCAATATGGAGACGGCATTCCTGGTACCGCTATCTCCTGCCTCCGTTTCCCGTGCCACTTCACCTGATGGAAATGCGTGCGGCCCACTGCCCAGCTGCGGCCTAGGACCCCCTGTCCAGCTGTCTGGATTGTACTTGAATTGAGGTGTCGAAAAATGAAGACTACAGTGTTCAACTACTCCGTCATAGAGGATTCTGTGATGAGCAGTTTTTATAGTTTTTATGAAAAAGAAGTAAACGCAAGTAGCATTCGCAGCTAGCAAGCAGAAAATTATTACATCTCCAGTTATCTGATGAGCGCGCACGATGAGGTCGATGCCGTGTTTCTGACAGAACTGCTCCACGACCGATTCATCGAATGAGAACGAGATACCTCGACATGACAATGACCATCCAGGCTGGAAATAGCATTTTTACGAACGTTGATATACTATGGCAACATGAGAATACAACAGTTGTATATCCACAAATCTTGAAGACTTGAGAAATTTTCATCGAATATTTAACTTCATGATCGCTTTCAAAAAATCATCAGAGCTGCCAACAAATCATTAAACGCGTGTAACACCAGGTACTTCGTGAGTCCGGGTCCGACCACACGATGTCGCACATTATCCCATATGGAGGAACGATGGATGGTCGTGGAGCCTGCAAGCGCAGCAGTTTTACAGTTGTTGTTTGTACAGTCATTTCTTCAGATGAATTGACATATTGAACAATTGGGCGTAGCGAGATGCGCGTTGCTTTACCGTTTGTGGAACATTAATGGAATATGGCTTACCCTGTGCCAAAAACCCACATTTTTCGGAAAGAGATGGAGATGGATGGGACAGGAATGGCTCGTGCTCCTACTGGCCTTATCTGCGCCATGCATGAATTTCTCATGCAAAGGTGGTGGAAACTTGCAACTTCTGGTATGTGCTTATATTAGGTTGATCAAAAAGTTTTGATAGGGTTTTTTGAGTTCCAGAACTTTTGATTCTTGATCGATACCAACGATCTACCATGTGGTAGCGGTAGAACATTCTAGAGCCTTGTCCGTAATAGGTATAAATAGGCGCGCTCCTTCTTTAGCTTAAATCACGATGTTAATTCCACGACACCATGCTCGATACATCATCTTCTACGAGTGGCGCCGCGGCACCGGAGCGACGGCAACCGTTCGCAACATCAACAGCGTATGGAGTGAGGACACCACTTCCATCGCTACAGTCCATCGCTGGTTCGCTCGCTTCAAGGAAGGAGACACGGACTTCGAAGACAAGCCTCGGTCGGGACGCCCCTCGCCGTCGACGACTCCGTCATTCTCGACGCCGTCAAAGAGGATCCGGAAAGTTACACCCGCAGTCTTGCGACAGACTTGGTTGTGCCCAAGCACAGTCGTCGGTCGGCACTTCAGCCCTCGGTTAGAGAAAGCGCTGCGGCGCTCGATGGCATAACGTCATGTCTTTGACCAAAACATGCAAGGTACACCCGGCACGTATTCATCTTTCTCAGATCTCTCCTTCTCCCACAGACGAGTTTCTGGAGCAACCTAGCTTACTGGGAGATGAAGCTGGATTCTCTACGACGCTAACAAGCCACCGCGCGTCTGCCCTCAGCGCAGGAGAACAGCCACTCGACGCAAAGCAAAAACCCGACCTCTCACGCCAAGAAGTTTCTCCTTTGCTGCTTCTGGAATTCAAAAGGAATGCTGTACTAAGAACTGCTCAAGCAAGGCCACACCGTCCCCACTCCCTATTACGCTGGCCTGCTGCGGAAAGTTGCGGAGAAGAAAAACGTTCGAAAAAAAACCTTTGAGAAAAACGGCCTAGACGAACTTTTGTGCACCTCTTCCATGACAACGCTAGCCTCACATAGCGTAAAAAGCACTTCGTGCAAAAATTAGAAGCGAGCTGAAGCTGGCGGACACGTTCCACATCCACCCTATTCATCTGATATTGTTCCCTCAGATTACCACTTGTTCCGGCCCCTCAAGGCTTTCCTAGCAAAAAAAACCATTCGTCAACTACGACCACCTTGAACAAGCGGTCGGTGACTTCTTTGTCTCCTAATCTCCCCAGTTCTGGGAGAAGGGAATCGCTGCCCTTCCCGTTAGGTGGGACAATGTTATGACTAAAGTTGGCTATTATATTGTTGATTAGCTTGCATTGTTTGCTCAGTTGTAAAATAAGGCAGAAAAAAATCTCAAAACCCTATCAAAACTTTTTGATCAACCTAATACATGCAGGCAGGTGTGCTTACCCCGTAGAAAGAGAGCATGATATGCTAAAGAGGGATATGGGATGGAACAAGTTTCGAGGCTCCTGCTGGCATGTTGCCTTCAAAAGGGCGGGTTGCGGTCAGTGCGTTAATAGATTGGAATCGCGCCGGGCACGGCATGACAGTCGCAACAAGAATATAACATTTTCATATAGACAACAGAAGGCGGAGGTGCGTATAGCTGACAAGTGGCCGCACTTACCATTTTCGCGCGGCGCCGCGGATTCGAATCCGTGAGGCGACACCCGCCCAGGCAACAAAGCCCTTTCTACCTCGGAGACGGTAATTTAGCAGATTCGATCTGGGAGGATAAAACACTGACTTGTACATCGGCTGGCCCCGCAAGTCATTGTATAGGCCACATCGCATTCAATAAGCCACTACGATTCTGAATGGAAGTAGAATGCGTGCCGCATCCCACAAAGGGATTGATTAACGGCGAAGACTTTATCCTTTTTATTTTTTACTTTTTTTTATAACCAACAGGAAAGTCACAATTTGCTGTAGTTCCAAACGACCAGAAAGAAAGAACTTCGTCATACTTCAGTTTATTTTCCCACCTGCTCGATATCCTCGAGTTTCTCAATATGAGGTGACAATCCGCCATGCATGCACATCACTTTTCCGCCAATAATCGCACATAATGGTAGATGGTTGAATGAGTTGATCAGTGCTAGGTAGACCTAAAATGACAGCTATTACGGCAGCACTACAAAGAGGGCACAGAGAGGGAAGGTGCCTCCGCCATAGCATCTGCCATAAAGCAATGAGCCGACAAAGAGGAGGCTTTCTACGCTTGAGCTGCTTTCCTCAGTGAGTTAAAGTAATGGACGCACATTGTGAGCCACCGGTGGCTTATAGCGGACGCCAGCGAAAACGCCATTGTCATACGCGGCGCTCTCTCGCCGGAACATGACGTCAATATGTTAAGTAATATGTAATTGAAAAGTTTTCCGTCACGCTCAATACTGCTACCGCAAAAGTGTGCATTCGAGCTTTGGAAGGGTGCTAGACACCAGATTCTGGAGCTAAGCCTACAAGTTTTGACGGTATTCTTCACAGGCTGCGCATGTAGTCACATAATCTGACTGCGTGGACCAAAGGGCCAAGACATGTGGGTGAAACGGACCCACAATTCAGCTCTAGGGAAGCTGACCGTCTTCGGTTGATTACATGGCCGCGGTAGAAGTCGACGACTCAGACAGTAGGCAGCTGCCGATTCAGAGGGAGATGGGAGATGCATGGCGTTTCTTTTGCCGTCTGCTATCTTTTGGACCACAGATCAAGCACCAATCACGTCTCTGCGTCAGACGACAGTAGGCAGCGTTTCACGCACTTCGCCCCAACGGCGGCGCTCGGGTAGCGCGTTCGAGCAATCGATCCCGCTAGTAGACTGCGTTGATTGCTCGTGCGTGCGATTGCGTCGCTCGCGCAAGCGTCGCTCGTCCTACGTCTGTGAACGCTGCTGTCGCATCGCTCAAGCTAAACTAGCGCGGTCGATCACTACGAACGAGGCGCCACCAATGCGCCGCCGTCGCGAGAGTCTTAACGTTGGCGTAGAAAACTACCCCATTGACGCCGGTCACCACCCGGAGCGTTCGGACAACCTTCCGCGGGCAGTGATTGGCAGTAGTGAAACTGGGCCGATTGTTGCAGTCACTCTCCTTTCTAGTGGATGTGCCTTCAAACGTCTTTTGAAGCTTTCACTATAGCAACAGCCACGGGAAACTGGATTTACTTGCCAGCAGCCTGGAATCGAACTAGGCAAGGAACGCCCAATTACAAATTGCCGAAGTACATCTTGGTCATGTGATGACAGACAGTTATCCAAGATGTACCTCCAATATGGGTGTGGGAGGGTTCGGGATATATAGTCAATGTGAAACGGAGAAAACCGCGAAAAGCCAACAACCAGGAAAAGTTTTTTTTCTCAACGCGGCAACCTTCTCTCAGAGGCACATAGGACCCCTTCTCCCAACAACGACCAAATACGACCCCCCCATGTCTTTCACACATGCGGTACCCTGTAATACAGTCGTTGAAGCAGATCGGGGTGTGACATCGGGGCATGGGTGCAGATGCTACGCCGGCCATTTTCGATCAGAGCGGTTGGAAAGGGGATGGCGCCGCGCTAAAACCCACGTGCTGCTGACACGCCTCGACTGTCGTCATTGATAACGTCTGTAGCTGCTCTTTAACTTACCCATTCACCGCGTTTTCCATATTTTTGCATGCATTCGTCATAAAAACCGTAGGTGCTAGTCGTGTTCAAGTCTTCATGATTACCTCGAAGCAGGAACACTCGGTCCGGGTAGCGCATTTGATAGCAAAAGAGTAAAATCGCCAGCTCCAACCCCTGTAATCAGTTTATCCAAAGTGTACAGCCAGATGTTCCAATAAAGCCCAGCGCTTAATAGCGCGTTCAGAAATGATATACGACCGTGCCTGTGTTCCCCTATCCACGTAGTCGCCGAGGAAAATATAGGTATTACGTGAAGGATCGCCACATCGGTCTATAATCTTTCGTAGGTCTACTAGCTGTCCATGGAGATCACCGACCACTGTGACCGGGAGGACGTCGCTGCAATATGAGACTACAGAATAATTATTTTTCTGGTTCTTTCCTCTCTATTGTCATTTTTTATTTGCTGTCAAATTATGTACTGCTGAGCAGAACGGTTTAGTAACAAGGGTCGCGGACCACACAGGAGGAGGGGGGGGGGTGCAAAAAAAGACACTTTTCTTCCTCGACTTTCAAGGCGATATAAGTTACACTTTATTGAATTCTGATTGGACATTTCCACCACCATATTCAACAACACATTGTACACTATCACGATACTCCGCCACAGCCTTCTGGACGAGCGCCATCGAGAGGTTCGATCGACAGCCACGCATCAGTTTGTGGGAAACCCATAGGAGGGGTCGTACTTGGCCGCTGAGCGTCATGCACGGCGCACACTCGGACCAAATCGATCAGTGATAGCCGAGCTCCTCTTTCACTACATTTGGAGGGAAAATAATGTGTTTTTGGACGCCACACTGCACGTTTTCAGAAGGTGTGTCCTCACAATGGCACAGAAGGAGTCGATTTTTTTGGGTGGTCAGAGGGTAGCGCGTCTGTGACCCATCTAAAATATCTCCTGAACTAGTGGGTCTTCAGAAAAACTGTAAAGCTTATTGGAAAGAGAAAAGATAGGCGGTTTCAAGACTTTCAGTCCTGATGACCATCTCGCATTTCGAAACTACCAGTCGAATCCTTCGTGTGAAGCATAAAAAACCCGCTTTTGCCATTCACCCCTAGCCAATCCCGAAACCCGATCGAAATATTTTCACGGAACGGAGATACAGATTGCGGCTTGGGTAGAAAACGCCGAATTAGGAACCTTCTATTGCATGCCTAACCATTCGTCAGAAGCCGCCCTCGAACAAGTAAAACCCCCCGAAAAGAGCCCAGGACGTTGGCAGGTCCACCGCGCTCCAATGACGTTTTTCCAACAAAAGCGGTGTAGCCCTTTCGGCGATCGATAATAGCCAAGTATAGGACGATTTACTGCCGCCTGGTTATCCTTTTTTTTCATTTGCCCTCCGCATTTTTTGTATTTTTCATGTTTCGCTTTGTTGTGTCGTGCATGTTTTCATGATTTCCCCGTCACCATTCATTGAATGCACATCTGGGGCCTGACACGCTCACCTTGGGGCTATTTTTTTCACCAATTTAGCTTACCAATGATCACCATCAGTCGCTTTCGATTGTGCTCCTTGTTACAAGTTGGCCATGTATACTATGGTTAGTCGAATGAGGGGCCTGAAACTTTTTATTTTGAATCTTGAGCGAGAAAATGTAGGTGATGCGAGGCTGTGGTTTAGCCCTCTATTTGCGTGAGGCCTGAAACAGCCTTTTACTTGCTATTTTTAGAGCAGAGTCGCTATTCAAAAATTCCAGATTCCATTTCAGGAAGCCATCTCCTTTGTGGGAACAGCCTGCCATCCTTGGTCTGCCTCCAGCATAGAGCAGGAGGTGGGGGTGAATCTGGCACCTCTTCGGAGGGGGGAGGCGTTCGCTACTCACACCGCCATTTCGCACATCCCCATGCTGTACCCTGCCCATCGAGGATTCTGCCGCGCGACCGTGGTTCGGTGCCTGAGCACAGCGAGGTTGTTGACTTTCCCGCACTTGGTGCGACCACCCTGTTGAGCTTCGCCTGAACCCAGTAATTGAGGAGGTTTAGGGCAGGTGGCACACTTGGATATTCCGTCTTCTTTCAGATACTCAACGCCCTTCGATTTCAAGTGGGCGAGAGTTTTCCCGATGCCCTCCGCTTTCATGTGCTGTCACCCAATTCTGTAGCAGTACGAACTTCCCAAGATACGCGTACACTGCGACAACAGACAGGACCAGATATTCTGCACTTCGAGTTGTTCGATGTAACCATCAGCGTTCACTTTCATTCAAGTAGTCACGAAGAAATATCGGTCTTCCCATTCCAGGAACTTCCGGTCCATACCATCAACCCGCGCCTTGGCGACTGCGGTGAAGATGATGTCCTGGACCGTAGCGACGTTGTCGGAGCTGCTCGATGTTGGAGGTCTTCCAGATCGAGAGTACTGGTCTCCAGGTAGCTATCCATGGGTGACTCCATACAAGAAGTTTCGCAGCTGTTTGGAGGTGACGTGAATTTCCAAAGGTCTTCTCCAGTCAGACTGCTACTGGAGATGACTTCATATTTTGGTGTACATGAAGGTGATGGGCGAGAGCCAGCTCCTGCTTATCGAGGAACATCTTGGGTATCTTCCGCCCTGGTACTCGTATCCACGTCCTCTGTCTGGGCTGCGTAAAACTTTATATGTGACTCGGCCAAAGAGTCTTCTTTGCCCCCTGTGTACATAAAGAAATCGAATGTTGGACCAGTTTCCGCAAGGGTGAACCAAGTCTTCTTCCCCTTCGCGGTAGTGACCCTTGTGAGTGGGATAAAAGCACTGACATTAACTTATCAGCTCTGCCCCTACCCACTAAGAAGCTGTGCAGTCTACAATAGCTGTGCAGGAATACGTGTCACATCCCCAGAAGGGACCACCAGAAACCAAAGCCTTACCGTTGAAACATTAGTATTAACAGTAAGACGTTGGGTGTGGCGGCGAACATCATTCACCCGAAATGCTCTAGATGCTAGTTTGGCGATGGTGTGAAGCAAAACTTGGAAGTTTGTCCAAGTCCCTTTTCAATGGCGCCACTGTATCCTCATGACATGTAGGGTACCAAGTGCCCCTCTGGGGTCAGTTGGCACTGTCGGATAGGCTTCTCTTTATTACCGGTTCGGCTAGGCACACTCTCGTGGGCACCACAGGCAGTCTTTAGTTTTACTGAGTCGGATCTTGGCTGTCAAGACCACTCCTTCAATCCGTTCCTTCTCTGGGGTAGCTTTGGAAAACACCTACATAACTCACGCGGAAACTTGAAGACAAACTGTACAATTACCGCTGAGGAAGGTCTTTGCTATAAGTGAGGTGAATGAGTCCGCAGCTACAGTAGCGTGCCCTTTTCACCGCTTAAAAGCACAAGGAACGAGGCTGTAGGGTAGTGGTATCCGAGCGTCGTCTCCATACTCTGCCCGCCCTATCCTCACAATCCCGCACTTGCGTCGATACCAAAGTCCCGCGGCGAAATATGCACTCAGCGACGGAGAACAACTAGAAGTGATAGGGCGCAGACAAGTAGCCTTTTTCGCCTTTGTTAGGGCTAACGCCGTTTGGACTCCAGAAATTTCGTCTTCGAGCTCATTTTAAAAGTGGCAAG